GATAAATAGAACATAGTCTACAAGTGTGGCTCTCCTCATCAGGAAGCGTACGTCCTTGGCCTCTTCTGCTTCTTTGTCTGCTTTGCCTTGCCTCCTCACTCCTCTTCCCTTCTCCTCTCTGGCTGTTGACCTTGTCCAATTCCTTGTCCTTCTATTGTTAGACGGTGTACCATTGTTTGTGCTCAGGCTATGTATGTAGGTGCCAGTTGAGAGCTCATGTGATGCACCTTAAACATTTCAGAAAACGGGTTGATCATTGGTTGTGGTTATGCATCACACATTTCCCTTTGTTTGAAAGAAAGTCAAGATTCACCTCGGAAAAAGCCAAATGGATCATGTTTTTTTTTTTTTGTAATGACTTTTGCGATTAACTAATACCTAAATGTTGTGGGGGCTGAGACAGAATCCCATTCGAATCCATTTTGGTCAACATGACAAAAGCAAATGGTAATGTTAGCAGAGAATTGTACATCCGTTTGGTGGATTTTCAAAAGCATTTGCAACTTGTCCAAAGAAATGAGAAACTGTTTTTCTGCTTCCCGGTAGAGGGCGTTGACCACTCTACCACAGCCTGAGTCTTAGGAGGATCTGCTCTGAGCTGTCCCTTCTCAATGATAAACCCTAATAATTGAATGGACTCAAGAGTGGAATTTGCACTTTTCAGCTTTGATATACAATTTGTTTTCGATCGTTTACTTTAACCGTGGCAGACCAAAAACAATCAGAGCCGCGTGGGATAGCATGACAAACATATCTCCTTTGTTGTGATCTCATGAGAGTTGTAGCTAAAGAGAACTGGTAGTATATTTGACCTCCACCAGGAGACACCCATCAAGATCAGTCAATCTGTAGGACAGCCAAGAGCTTCAACCATGCACGGATCAATAAAACACTCGTTGGAGCCATAAACTTAAGTTTATGGCTCTTATGGACTCACCAAATGACACCTCTCCTGATAATTCAAGTCTACGGACATTGGAAGCATGGTGAGGAACTTGACAGGGAGGTGAAACACTTGTTGATCTCATGGATTTCTTTTGTAACTGAACTAAGTCCATTGGTGTCTGATTGCCGATGACCCATCTGAGTGGACTTACGGGGTGATCATGAAGGTCTTGACGGACAGGCAGACGCATGATGACCCAGAAGACCGCAGCAGAAGCACGAACCGGTTTGGTGACGTTGCATACTCTCCTCAGGACTAAGATTTCCCCCACCGAGCTACATGGGTTCGTCGAGGGGTTTAACGGGTTCCTCCGACGGTCGATGTTGATGGTCTTATCTGCCGTGCAGGGCTGTTCACAACCGTGTTCATGACATCGTTCCCTCAAGTGATTGTCTAAGTGGATAGCCAGTGCAATGAGTTCCTCCAAGACTGCGCTTTACTACAAAGTGCAATCATGAAATCCGCTCTCAGCGGCCAAAATGCGGAAAACAGTAGAATAATCGGCAACAGATTGCTGACACTGAAAGCAGCCTCTCGGATGCTATAGCCCCAAGGTGTGTTGCTGTGGTGAATTTTGGGGTGTGGGTGGGGGGACTGTGTGGTGACCCACAAGAAATAGACATTGACCAATGAATGACCTGTATCTTTTAGGGAGTGGGGAAGAGTTTAGTTTTGTATGGAGAGTAAAAGAGAAATGACTTGCCTTCGTCTCGTCATCTCGCCAGTTACTGCATCTCCACACTATTACTGTTTTCAGAAGATTAACATTTTTACCGTTGACACGTGTCCAGGTAGTTGCGGCTATCATCTGTCAAATGTGACAAGTTGGGAACAATTAGTTTCGCCTCCAATTGCCTCATATTATTATTATTAACCCAGAATAAAAAAAAATTCCATTCTCATTGTTACGTCATGAAATGTTAACCAACAATCGACATTGGCATGCCACAACTCCACCGTCACAAATGCTTTTGTAGTCGTGGCGCTAGACCAGGGATGTTCAAACGATACCATTTGCAGGCAATGGTTTGTATTTAGCGGCCAGTGGATTTGCCTGCATTATACAATCTACAGGTACTTTCTACATTGGTTGGCGAGGACTGAAGAGAGTAGAAGAAAAGTGTTATCATCTCCCACTTTCTTGGTTTACACCAATCACCAGGCTTGAGGAATAATGGAATACAAAAAATGTAACAGTATCCCGTTACAGACTAGTTCCAGAATATAACACCTAATCAGATGACAGCACGCCTGCGACCCCCGTGAGGATAGGCGGATCAGATAATGGATGGATGGATGGAATGGTGAACAATAGTCTTTGCGGCCATTTCCACTTCGTGACATGAAAACACATCTTTTCAATTAGGTCTACCCTTGAAATGCATCAACTTCAAAAACAGTTGTTCCCAAAAAACTGGCAGAATGCCAATGCAACACAAGACCGTTTAAATCGAGTCCAAGGCTGTCCATAATTGATGATACATTGCCATTAAAAAATAGGTGATGATCGTTACCCCATCGCTTCCACAAGGTGGCATTCATTATCTACGACTGTAACTTAATGTATACTTAAAGCCAGACGACTTGAATGGCTTATTACCACTGGGATTTCCGGACCTATCTTCATTTATTCAGAGCACACTGCAGGAAGTTTGATTGAAAGCATGTATCACTTTAAGCTGGTTTTGAACAAGTCTATTTTTTGGCTCTGGACTACACTTTCTGAGAACCACCAAATGGATAATTATATATATATTAATACGGTGATACGGTGATCTACTGGTTAGCACGTCCGCCTCACAATGCAGAGGTGCAGGGTTCGAGTTCGGGCCTTGGACCTCCTGTGTGGAGTTTGCATGTTCTCACCGTGGCTGTGTGGGTTTTGCAGCACACCCGCGACCCTCGTGAGGAAGAGCAGCTCAGATAATGGATGGATGGATATAAAAGTGTGTGTGTGTGTGGGGGGGGGGGTGCGCGTTTAGGAGGTTTATGTTTTTTTGAAGGTTATTTTATGTATTTTGTTTTTGAATTTATGTCCCCCGACTACCACCTCCCCCCCAAAAATATTTCAATGCATTTCAATGGATTTGCTATTCACGGGCCAGCCCAGTCCCTATTCCTCACGAGTGTGGATTCACTGTATAGTTTTAAGTTGTAATATCAGCATCATTTTAATATTTTCTTTTCACACATAAAAAAATATGTCGATGAATATGAAGTCGACGTTGTGTATGAAATGCAGATGTAAATATCTAGAAATAAAATTAGAAATGCTGATCTCTTGTCTCATATTCATCTATTTTCAACCCAAATATTGTCATACGACAAAACTGAAAGAATTATCTTCACCTTTCCAACACTTTTGGAGGGGACAGTATTTCTTCATTATTCATGATTTACAAGTGAGAACAAACAACGGACACAACCAGACTGAGGCTGACAGGGAGTCGAAGTCTACGAGAAGTGTGAACGCATGTATGTGTGTGTGCGCGCGCGCGTGTGTGTGTGTGTGTGTGTGTGTGTGTGTGTGCGTGTGCATGTGTGTGCGCACGTGTTCATGATTACAAGGTGAAAGAGATTAAGAATGCATTTTCCACTCCCTCCCGTCAGTGTGGTTGAACCAGCTTGTAATTTCCTGGAGTAATAGTTTGAGCGGAAAGTCAGTCACTGGGAAACTCCTGCTGCTGTTGCGGTTTGCAGGTTGGTATTTGGTTTTTGTGTGTGTATTTTTTTTCTTTTCAATTCTTACTCAATCATTTTAAGATTATTGGAATGGTGACAAAAACAAGCCCTTATATTCAATTCTGCCTTTATTTGTGTCTTGTTGGTTGCTTAATTTATCACTCATCCATTTTCTCGCCAGCTCATCTTAATCGGGGTCATGGATGAGCTGGAGCCTTTCCCAGTTATCTTTCGGGGGAGAGGTCGGGCACATCCTGAACTGGTCACCGAACGATCACACAGCACTTTTATAGACAACCAGTGACATCTATGGACTATTTGTCTTCAATAAATCTAAACTAATAACTGAAATTGTTGTCCGTTGTTCCTTGAAAAACGGCTCGAGCTCAGGTAGATAAGATGGAGAGTCTTTGTGAAGAGCTGTTTTCAGATCTTTCCACAGATTCTCAATTGGATTCAGGTCTACACATTGAGTGATCATTCTAACTCATAAATGTGTTTAGTTTTGAACCATTCCATTCCAGATTTTGCTTTATGCTTCAGATCAGTGTCATGTTGGAAGGAAAACCTCCGTCCCAGTCTCAGGTCTGTTACTGACTCCAAAAGGTATTCTTTGAAAATGGCTCCATCCATCTTCCCATCAACTCAGAGTATCTTCCCATTCCCTGCGGAAGAATTCGCAGCCTCGGACCATGATGATGCAAGAGTGCTCATGGGCCTCTTGGCTGCATCTCTGTTCACTGCTCTCCTTGTTTGGGCTGAAAGTTTAACGGGACAGTTTGCAGTGGTCTCATCCACTCACCTTTTCAGTATGACTGATCGAACAGTGCTCCACCAGATCTTTAAAGCTTGTGAGATCTTTTCATATCCCAATCCTGCTTCCCCACAACTTCATACTGCTGTTTGTGCCCCAAATATTCTTTGAACAGACAACTCAGACCATCACAGAGCAGGTGCATTTATATTGAGACTAGATTACACAGAGGTGGACTCAATTTATCATCATCAGTAACTTCCGCAGTGAGTTGGCAACACTGACCGTAAAGGCGCCAAAGAAAGAAATGTATTCACATGCATTCATTTCCTTGTACTCATAGTTGGAATACTTCTTCCAATTATCTTTGGGTGACGTTCTAAAAGGCCTATTATTGATGCTAAAAGAGAACACTTAATAATGGTTGCAAAATAAGGAAATAAGGCCCATTAAAATTGTTATGTCACATTCCGTCAAAGGGTACAAAACTGACTGACTGAGAGTGCTTCACGGTGCAGGTGAGGCATGATCCAAAAAACAATATGAAAGCAACGCCCGGGAAAGAACAATCTAAAGTCTCAAGGCAGCGATGAAAAAAAAAAAAAAAGAAACAATGTCTTTTAAAAATAAATATGTTTAATAGTTACACTAGAAACAACAAAAACTGTATTAATATTGTCAAAGAATTTACAGCACAAATAAATATATTAATGTGAAAATATACAAAAAAATTGTGGCTGTAAAAACTTATTTAAATACAAAAAAGAATGTTCTCATCAACCGAGGACTTGAGAGGCATTGCCTCTGACCCAGCTGATAGGAGTGAACTCAGTCTCAGGACTTTAGTTTGAGGGTGGCAATATCAGGATTTACTGCTGGCTCACATGGCTGATAAACAGTCTTGCAACTGGCAGAAAAAGGCTCGTTGTGTAATGTGTGTAGTTAGGAAACATTTGCCGCTATGTTTGGAGTGCTGTACATGTCATGTATGTCACGTCTCATCTATTGACTGAACTTTTTACATACGATACTGATTTGAATTCGGAAAGTGAGTTGACCTCTTATGGTAACAATTCAAATGCAAAGTTTGCATTTCCTCGTGACGGGGTGTCCTCCTGGTTCAACAAAATACTTGAGTGACACTTGTGCTTGTCAGAAAAGCCAGTGAAAGTACCGTGCCAGTTCACCACCTTCAGACTAGAGCCCGACAGACGAGAATCTTCACACAATTAGGTCCAAGCTGAGCAGCAGCAGCAACTAGACTCCTTCAGTCCTGCATATGACGTGTCTCCGGGCAAGCAAGTGCAAAACCACATGTCCATTGCCCGAGTCCCGAGTCCAAAATGAAAAGCACCTGTGCTGGTGCATCATCCGCGCATACTTGTGACTGGGGTTTCCATCGGTCAAATGCCCCATTATGCCCCTAAACCACACACACACACACACGCACACACACACACGCACCCCCCCCCCCTCCACCCCACCCCACAACCTTCACACCCCCATTCGGCTGGTGAGTAACATAGCTTCAGTTTAAAAATCAGGAATGTCAAAGCTTTGTTTTCAGTCCTTTCCCACCCCACAAAAATCCACAGTCAAACATGTTCGATCTCAAGGCAGATTGAAAGGGAGAAAAAAACTCAAATCACTGTAACAATTCATATAAATATTATAATACAGAATACTGAACACATTCTATAAATTAAATGAAATTTGAAAAAGGGATATCCAGTAAGTATATACAGACCGTTCCCAATAAATTGCTCTGCTGTGGAGGCATGACTATTTCTTTGGAGCGCAGACAAAGTCATTGAATACAACAACAGCAAGGTTCAGGGGGGTCCTAGACTGACCTATTCTCAGCTCATCTAGTCACTACCCTTTGTCATATATACCTACATTAATATCCCTTTAGCATGGTCTCAAAACATCTTGTGAAATTAACACAATGTCTAAATAAAAATACAAATAATATACTGTGCATGTCAATAAAAATATCTTTTCCAACCCCAAAAAGTTGTGTGATGGAGGCAGGACCAGACAGGTAGTGGTTTGACACCTTCACACCCTGACAAAACGTTTTACTTTCCAAACCAGCATCATAGGTCGTTTTCGCCGAGATTCCGATGAAACTTTCTTGGCGAACCTCTCTTTGGGTTCATGCCATCGTCACTGAACTTCAATTTGGGAAGAAGGTCACATTATTCGTCACCACAGCACGTAACCTGTGTCAGCAGTTGTGTCAAATTCTGTCATTATATTCTCACATTAACTGCTGTCGCGTCCTACAGTACAGACAAAACGTCTCATCATGTCACAGAGAAGAACACGTTGGGAAACCTGCCATACAGTTCAAGTGCCGCAGGTATCCCCATCAGAATTTGGTGATCCAGCCGCTCCCATTCGGGCCCTTCAGGCAAGATCGGCTTTTGTTGGATGACATTGTGGTCACCGAATTTTCCAGAATGCGAGACGTATATCGGGTTCATGTCCACAGCAGACCAGCATCCAGTGAAGTCTTACATAAAATAAAGTAAAATGTCTTTTCCCCAATTTTACCCGGGAGCTCTGTCACATTTTCCCATTCACACGCCGACAGCGCATTCGTTTTAAATAGTAGCAGCAATACACACTGTTGATGTACTGTACTGAGAGTGTATGCACACATATATACATATATATATATATATATATATATAGCGCGTTAGATGGAAAACTGACGGTGGCAAGATCAGAATGGAGAAGGTCCTGTCTTGCATTGTCCTTGAGTGTCCTTGCAGGGAATGCATCCTCAGATTTCAAAGTGCTGTGCGAAAAAGAATTCCTTCATAACAGTGTAGTCTGCACCTCCTGGTCTCATCTCCTCAGTTTGTCACATCTGCCGAAGAAGAAACAGAAATCTGGTTCAGTGCTCGGAGACCGATTTGTCTCAGAGTAGAGTATGTTACATGATCTGACAAATGCAAAGTGCATGCAAATATGTAACATTTTGAGACAAGGGCAAAGACAGAAAGGAAAGATGGAGTGTGTGTGGCAGGAAGGGGGGATCAGCATGGAGCCTGTATGGCTTTCTACCTTTTAGTTAAAACCTTCATAGCAAATGATCATGTTAATTTCAATGTGACTAAAACGGGTTTGCAGCTGAGGCTTAAAAAGAGAACTATAAATCGGAGGGATCTGAACGTCCGCCACCACCACATCTCCTGAACGCAAAGCAGCCTGTGAGAATCATGTCATGGTGACGTGTGTGGTTCTCTAAAACCAGATCAGTGTGGGGGGCCCAGTATGGGGGGCCAGTGGGCTCTGAGGTCATATAAGTGACTGGGTCACAGGAGGTCACGTAGCCTTGTTAACTACAGGTTGCAGCCCGACCACCTCTCTTTTTGGGTGTGTGCTTCACGGACGGCAGAGGGATGACACGACTTTAACTCAACTGCATTATGTTTTGAATTCATCGATGGAACATGAGCATAAAGAAGCAAGCAGCATGGCTATCAATGCATTCAGCAAATAATCTTCAAAATGGATAACCATGAATCCTTTTAATATGCTAGAAGCATACAGTATATGCAGTCTACTTTAACATTTGTCCACCAAAAAGGAAAGCAAGAAAGAGATCATCTCGATTGTGACGAACTACATTTAGCGCTGTTTACACTTGCCTGCTTTTCACGATGAATTGCGAATATCAATGTAACTTTGGTTTCCTGTTTATATGACAACATGGTTGTGTAGGGTCAAAATGCTAACTTCTTAAAAATGGGTCTCTCACTGGCAGATTTTTAAAACATGCACCTTCATCAGTGGTTCTACAAACGGCTGGTGTGCATGAGCCTGCTTCATTCAGGTCTGCATTTGCTCTTCTAGAAAAAATGCTTTTGGTATGACTTCTCTGGAGAACTGGACACCATTTACTGTGACCAGAGGAGACACACTGTGCTCATAACTCAAATTTTCAAATCGAGCCCGGGCCTGGCTGAAAAGAGCCAAAATCTGCAAGTGCCGGGGATAGGTTTCCCCATGCCAAACTGTGAATATGTGCTGGTCCACTGTTTACTTTTGGATGACACCAGGAGAATAAGCTCTTGGTGGACATGCACATGGCAAGTGTTGTCAACATTTTTTTCCATGCATAAAACTTGAAACATAAATGCATGCAAACGTGAATATACACTTTGTGGCCTGATTTGATAGAACCAATCAAGCCCCTCGACAGGCTTGCTTGCTCCTCAATGCCTTGAAACCAAATAAAAAGTCATGAATGAGATTATGATGATGCATGATTCTAATTAGAAAATGGAAAACCCGTGAGGAGTCCAGTTAGTAATGTCCGATAATGTTTCCTCTTATCTGACAATAAGCTAACCCCAAACATAATCGAATTTGGGATTGTTGCAATAATAAAACAAAAGGATCGTAACAGATATTATCTTTGACGAGTGAGTCTGAACATGACTAACGGTCACGTGCACCCATTTTCAATCTAACATTGAGCTTTGAATTAAAATGACATGTCACAATCGATGACCACAACTATGACTTCCAATGCCAACTGGGGTCACGATAGCATTCGACAAGACAATGCAAGCACTGGGAAGAAGGCAACTGCAACATTCACGTGTGCATATACAACACAGCACCATAAAGCAAGGGGGCAAAGCATGCTTAAGCACAGTTGTGGGTGAAGAGATGAGAAGCCGGGAGAACCTTTTTTTTTTTTTCAAAGCACTTTGTTTAACATGTGCATGGAAAAACAAACCTGCAAGTTCTTTCGTTTAATTCAAGCTGCCTGGACTTGCAGTCTAATTGTGTGAATTTGCAGGAGCATTTACAGGTGAGAGGGTCCTGCACAAACAAGCGCTTTCTTCTCTCTGAACAAGGCGCACAGTGGCTGCAAGGGAAGCAAAAAGGAGAGACAAAAGAGATAGAGAGAGAGAGAGATCTAAGCTACAGCGCAAAGTCTGCAGAAAGGACAGATGCAGACACTCATGCAAAATCCCTCATCGCTTCTCTTCTCAAATCCCAGCCCCCCCCCCCCCCCCCTCCATCATCTCCTTTCTCAAGATGGTTGAGTGAAGAAAATGTATGCACGCACAAGATTTGTGGCTGCGATTTGACATTGCAGCGGTTCGACTAATCCGGCAACTCTGGGATCCTTTTGCCCTTTGGCCCCTTTGTTTGATCTCCTCCAGGAGAGACACAAGTTCATACATGGTCATGACGTGTCAAGCTCAGTATCCTTGCTGACTGGATTTCATTTTTTGCGTCATTGGCAATTTTGTTAAGGGGCTTCGGTGAACCCACCGAGTTTACTTTGCATGATACGCCACAAAACACGCAGAATAGCCCATATCAACAAAGCCATCATATAACCGCTACTTGTAGCAGGCATCCAACATCAATTAAGCTGGAGTAGACATCGAAGCCGTCACTGCGTCTGTTAAATTGCTCTCCCAAGATGCAAGGTCAGAATTGAGACAAAACAAGGAACTCACTTGATATATTGAGGTTGTTTGGTGGATATAGTGAGACTGTAAAGAGGAATGCTTTGTCTTACATCCAGGCATCGTGATCAATTCTGTATCGCCTTCTCAAACGACGGTCTGAAAACAGATGCCTAATGACCCATAGCATTCAACTTATCAGTAAAACCTCAAGGCTACAAAAATCCACCACGTCTTTACTTAGATTTATGTAACACTTGCCTGTGGCCTGCAAATACAGCTATCACTGGAGACACGACAGAAGATAAGATGCACCGAGAGTGTGGCAAACAGTTATCGAGGCGGGACAAAACAGACCAAAAAACGGCATACGCATTAGAGATTTGATCAAATAAATCTTCATGTTGGTACTTTTCCTTCAGTTGTCTCCATTAGCCTTGACAAACAGAGGTGAAATCAAAGGCAAATGACTTTGAAGGCGAAGCAGGCGGGTTCGTGCTGGGCGAAATCAATCAAATCGAGAAGAAACTAATCAACCAGTCGCGCGTCTGCTTTCTCATCTAGTCTGCTCATTAGCAGGGTGGAATATTGATCCAAATAACGGAGGTGAAACAGGATGTACTGTATGTCCCCGTGACGAAAGATTCATGAGGGCATCCGCTTTACGGCGTTGCCACGTCGAAATAGCTTATTACGCGCAGAGCGGGAGGTAACACACCAATATGGCAGGACGAAACTTCAATTCAGCCTCACAACAAATTGCTTTGACTTTGGTAATCAGATCTCGTCGCTCCTTGGCTTCCAGCACTTCAACTTTCAAGACGCCGTCATACAAATCAGCGGTCACACGCTGCCCTTATCTACTTCAAAAGCCTGGCCTACTTAGAGGTGGGAAGGACGGATATTTGTAAATGTCACCGTATTAATAAATGTGACTCCATGTGGAGTTGCGGGTTTAACGGTGAGCGGTGGAGTTTTATTTAAATTTAGCTTGACCTATTTCTTATTCATTGCCTTGAACTGTACAAGCCATGCCGATGAGATATCTTGAATTTGTGAAGCGTATTCGTCTGCTTTGTCGTCGTAAATTGGGAAGTCCGATGTGAATCACTTACTGTATGTGAACCTGTTCATGTGGTTGCACTGTATCTGACATACCGACTGACTGACTTAAAGTGTATTGAATTGACTCCATTTTATTTTGTCAGGTGGTTGCACAAAATAAAATTACCGGTATATGGATTCAGATACATTGTTGAAGTAGACTATACATCGACGGGAAAAAAAAAAAAAAAAATTCCTAATCCAGATGATTTTGTGTGCAGCCACTTAACAAAATAAAATTGAATCAATTCAAAACTATAAAAACATTTTTTTCCTTCAGTGTGTGTGTGTGTGTGTGTGTGTGTGTGTGTGTGTGTGTGTGTGTGTGTGTGTGTGTATCAAAACCTGAACTGAAAATGAAGTGATGATGGCGGAGCTATCAAAAGACGCAGTGGTGTGTGTCAACTGATTTAACCGACAGGGTCTCCACTCATCACTCTTTTCATCCTGTATTTGCACCGCTAAAAATATAACTAGGTTAAGTGCCCGACACCTGTTGCCACAATTAGACTGGGGAGGTAGTTGAGGGGTAGATTTGTGCAACTGGAGTCGCAGCGCAGACGGCAGCGGGTGGTCCGCAGTCTGCAAACTATGCCCCCGTCACTCCCACTGTTACAGCCACCCCATGAAACTAACACCGCCATAAAAAGAGCCAAGTGACAGCCCAGTGTACATTAGTGGAACACGGTCTTGAAAAGTGCTGCTCTCTCCCTTCAATACGTGCATATACACGAAGAATAAATTCATTGTTAGGACTCCGGCTGACAGTGTGAAATAAATTTTGGACAAAATGTGTCTTGATGCAAATGAGACAACAGAGCACCACAAGTGAAGGTCCTATTGATTGAGTCGCAACTGGTTCTGAAGTTGAACATCGTGATCAAGGAATTTGAGTTCCAGTACATTCATGCGGCCCGCCACTCTGACACAACTTTTTTCTTTGATCTGCTCAAAACTGATCAGAACAGTCGAGCAACAAGATTTATGTTTCCTAACTTCTAACACAAAAGTGCACATTTGGCCTGGATTGTGTCTGTTGGAATTTCTAAATTGCAGCACAGACATGGACACATCACTTTTTGGTAAACCAAAATATGTCCCAAATGTGCCCGCTGACCGAACTAAAGCAACAAACAATTGCAATGTTCCCCAAACTTTATTGGTTGACATGAACAAAATCTCACGGCATACCACCAAACAAGAATGTCACAAAAAGGACAAACACTGCCTGATGGTGACCTCGTCTCAATTTACTCACAAATTGACAACTTGACAGTGTGAGATACGGGTCTGTTCAATTGAACACAAGCTTGATCTGCTCGACAGAAGCCATTTATTATTCTCTTTTAGGAACGGTAATGAGTGGCTACACAGGATTAACGCGCTTCTGCCATCTAATGGAGGAGCATTGATGTCGACTGCCGGTCACTATATGTCGCTGGTATAGATAGATGAGCATAGACATCTTCATAAATTAATAAAGAATAATCGTCTGACAATTTAAGTGAAATTGAGTATTCTGCGGAACACGTGATGGTCTATCATGGCACACTCGTATGCCACTGGTTGAGAATCACTGAACTATTGAACCAAGTAAACAGGCGTTTAATGTCAATCGCGATTAACAGTTAGGTTTAAATGGAATTATTCCCATTGTTTTGTTGTATTGTGTCAAAGCCAGACGGCACAATTCATTCATCTTTGGTCAAACTATATGACACAATGGGGAAAGTATGCGTGTCTGCTTTTCTTCCAGCACAAGTGTAGGAAGCTATCCAACCAAAATCATAGCGCTTAAAAAAAAAAAATGTAACCCGTAATATCCCCCGCCCACACACACGCAAACTCTCAGAATATTTAAAAAAAAAAAAAAAAAGCATAAGAACTCACAACATACTTACTATTCTTTTTCTTTCTTTGCTCGAACTTCGGGCTTTAGTCTGAAATGAAGATTGACACATACCCAAGCGATTAGGATTTTTTTTGCTCTTGTGATGAAATTGAATGAAAATGCGGGCTGTCTCACCTGCAGTCACACTTTTTATGCTCTGTGAAGCTCAGTTGAATTTTATGTTGCGTGACCAGTGATCTGATCCGCATTACCTTCAAGGAAAACAGCACATGACAAAGAAATGGTCAGCTTAATGCGAACTTTTCCACAAGGTTGCTTACGGGGACAAGTGTGTGGACCGTATGCCCTCGCCGCTCCCTAATTGAAAGACTTGAAGACGTGTGTGTCTGTGCAATCATGTTTTCCCGTACTTCTTCAACCATCACGAATGCCAAAGCGGAGTCGTGCTAAGCGGGCAGGAGGGGCTTCGACCACACGGACATTGTTGTAAACATTACGGCGAAGTAAACAGCATATTTGAAATGCCATGTCTTGCTGCTTCACTTTCTATTCCCTGAAAAAAAGCTGGTAGCTCGGGAAAAACGTGCAGACAGTGGCCTGGCAACTTTTCACATGAAATTAGCTGTTGGATTGAAAATACATTTTCCATTCGCGGTGGTTCTCAAAGCAGTGGTACATGGGCTGCCACTTGCGCTCCACCAAAGTTTCGCTGAATTAACCGTGCGAAATATTTTGGTGGTTCTCCACTTTTTTTAACGAGGTCAAGTACATTTGTTCGGTAAGCTTCAGTTGCATTTAACTTTCAAGTCATTATGCTACATGGATTTTTCAAAACATTTATTCATTTGCAATTTGCATTTAACTTCTGTCTGCAATATTTTTGAACTGAATCCCTATTTAAGGAAGTACTTTTTTTTCTCCTTTTTCCAAATGCCATGTTAATGTCCAAACGCTTAGGGCTACTATGCTGTTATATTTTAACGTTGATGATTATGGTGGTACACCAAATGTGTTATAAGGAAAACGTTTGAGAGCATTGTATTGTATTTTACATTTCCAAGGCAAAAATCACAAGCTTTTAAACATGTCTTCCATTCCGTTCTCTAATGATGCATAGTGTTGGATTTAATTGTCATCATCATACTGCATGGAACGTTCGAGAGTTGATTAATATACAATGTGAGTCCTTAATAACCCACAGCAGAAATAAACTTGAATGTGAGATGTTTTGCTCCTGAATTAAGAAATCAATTCACACAAGTTACAACCAAACGCGCTTTTTCCATGTTTTTCATCTGTGCTATTGACCAAGCGGACAATTTAGGTTTGTCCACCCTCAACTCACTTGTAACGTAACATTGCGGGTTTCAGATGGCACGCACTCCATCGCCTCATCGTTGCAGCAGCCTCCACACCGAGTGAGGACTACACAGGAAGGCGTGTACGTGTGTTCGGTGTCCTCCGGATACTCCTGGGAGATGTCCACAAGCATTTCTCTGGGCTGACACCTACTCTTCATGATGACATCTGTCAGTTGGATAACTGAAAAAGAGGAGACATGGATTTTAAATAGCACAGCAATGAAACAATTACAGTCATCTTAATTGCCATTAGTTATCCTGTGAGATTCTCAACCTAGATATCGCCGTAGCCGTGACGGGTTAACCCCGTCAAATTTAGTTTGGGCTCAACAATTCTGCTCTGAGGGAGGAACAAGGAGCTTTAACAGGAAACACATTTTTCATGCATTATTTAGTCGGTGTAAGACGTCAGTTGAAAGTTCAAATGTACACCAAACTAGACCAAAAAAAGTGAGCGGCCGGAGTTTTAACATGTACGGATGAATTCAGTGGCTTGTGTTAAATTTAGGGATGCACTGACATCACTTTTTTTCAGAACGAGTACTTATATTTCAGTCTTCGCCAGTATCAAGTAACGATACTTGATAATGCATTACGTGATGAAATTGTGATAAGAATGTGTTTTATTTGAATTATTATTCAGTTATTCAATACTTTTCAAATACGATGAATTAATCAACATGACATTGTTTCACATAAATAAATATGCTTATTAATGTATAGGACTTTGTTACAGCTGTGGTTGTTGTGGAAAGTGTGCCATGAATAAAGTTGAGTTGATCTGAGTTATATGGCGTCTCGGTTTGAAGGGGCACAATTTGAAATCAGTACCATAGAAAAGAGGCGAAGGACGTAGCATCTGGTGGATAAACATCGGAAGCCGTGTTACATCTTTGTGTTACAACTACACAGTAAGTAAAAAGGAATACAAGACCGCTTCTTGAGAATACTTGAAGTCATCAACTCAAACCATGAAAGGAAAACTGCAGTGTTATTTATTAGACCACACACTAAAGACTTCTCTTTACCGGTACTCAACATGCCATGCCGCAGCCCAGTCTGCCACCCGGGCTGCTGGCGGCTACGTGACTGGAGTGCTGCTGGCTTGGCTGGAGCCAAGCAGCACGTTGCGGAGCAAAACTCTATGTGCTCGCCTGATCCCACCTGCCTCTGTTGCCACTCGAGTGGGGTTAATCATCCATTTTGCAGAGCATATAACTTAGTTATCTAAAAGTGTTGTCATCCGTGTCCTTAAAAGTATCTCCGCACGGCTGACATGGAAAGCATACGCCAAGCTGGTCATGTCGTATCGGTGTGTAGTAGCGAAGCATTTTTAGGAGTACCGAGTACTAATTACCGGAATTGGTATCGGTGCATCCCTAGTTAAATCACTACTCAGTTAATATAACAAAGGTCGGCTCAGTCGTGCCTCCCTGTTTTTCCACCCCTTGTGCAGCCAAGAATAATCCACTCAGGAGTCCATCAGACTGAGCCATCAGTGACCCTTTCTAACTTCTGACCCTGGTTAGTCAGAGCAGCCCTAACTCGGGCACTGTGGCGCCAGGGGTCATCGCTGACATGTGACCCTATAAGCCCAACGCTGTGTTAGATGAGTATTTGGAATAATGCCAGTGACTTAAATGTGAGTCAATTGATGTTAATGATGCCTACAGATCCCTTGAATCCTAATTGAAGAATTCACTAGAATTGATTGACTGCACCAGTTACCAATTCAAAAGGCTGACCTCAATGCCCCACCAACGACGACTCATTGCACGTTCTCCAGCCATATAATGAATGATTCAAGCACCAAAGACAAACTGCTAAAACTCAGTGGTTGCTCTTGTCAATCTGACAGGTGGTCTGATAGCGTTCGAAGAGGCAGAGGAAGTCTGCCACCTGTGTGCTCTTGAACTTCACAATCTGACACTATCACCCCAATAACAATCACATGACCCTGTGCCTTTGCTCAGAGATGATGTCTGCTGCAGCCAATCGCGTGTCTACATCCATCACCGTTCAAAGGGTCCAACCTTGGCCTAAGCACAACAGTGTCACTGTCAAACAAACACACATATGACACTAAACCAAGGCTGACTGCAGATGTATTGACTGGGCGGCTGCTGCAACAGAGTCACTCAAATGAAGCCACACAAACTTCCTCCCAATGTGAATTATTATAGATATCCCGGCAGTGTAATCTGCACCTCTTTTATAGGGACTCCAAAGTCCCAAGTCAGACCTTTAGCCAGCCTGGGAACTGTGACAAATGTTTCCTTAAGACAGAAATGCGGAATACTGTCTTTAAAAACAAAGCTTTACACACACACACACACACACACACACACACACACGCACGCACACACACACACACACACACTTTATTCTATATACTGTACATATCATGGAAGATACAAATGTTTATTATACGTCCACTAGGTGGCCCTATATCCATCTGGCCTTGTAGATGAAAGAACTGACTTTTTTTTTTTTAATCCAAGAAATGGAACACTCACCTTCATTTTTACTCTTATCCACTCCCTTGTGAATGCTGGCAGTCTGCAAGAGATGCACAAGAGCCCGTGTGTGTCATTTTCTTGAAATCAATGCAGCACATAGATATATGATCGAATCAATACATTAAACGTAAGCAGCACATTTTATGAAGACACACACACACACACAACAATTTTGAGAGTTGCCCTAGATGCGGTTTTAATTCATGTAAACGTATAACAACACAGATTCGTATTCAAATACGTCACGTTGTCAAACTGTAAAAGGCGTACCGAGAAGCCATTATTGTATTGTATATTGTATGTATGTTTGCTCACGTGGGCAAAGAGTCTGTGCCCAAACTGTAAAAGGCGTACCGAGAAGCCATTATTGTCTATTGTATGGATGTTTGCTCACGTGGGCAAAGAGTCTGTGCTTTTTTTTATGGTGAGAGAAAGGTGACGTGACGACATGCTGCATCATCCGTTTACTTAATGTGGCTGCTGCAATTGATCGAAGGTATTGCGTGAGAAATTTTGTATGGGGAAACGTGGTGTGAAGGAGGTGGGCATCCTGCAGGGAGGCCGGCTAGGTGAAACCGAATCTCAGTTTCCACATATTCCGAATCACCGTGAGGGAAAAATAGAACGGGACTGAACTCGTGGGCATAATAGCTGAGAGGACTGGATCAAATAATACACTGCGCGCGTAATGTATAATTCGCTCGGCGCTCGACGGAACTCTCGCGAGCGCTCATCAGTCAAGCGGCTAGAATGACAGCTTGTGCGTAGTCTCCTTTTTGAGTTGATGATTGAGGTTCCTAATATGAATTGTATGCGAAGGTCTTGATCGGTATCGAAACAAACGTGCCGTGTTGCATTTTTAATTTATAATTTTTCCCCTCGTGCTTTTAATTCATTCCAGCCGTTATGGGTCTTGCCTCATAGCAAGGTGGTCTCTGGTTCGATTCCAGTGTCGGCCACTTTTGACACCTGACTTCGGGGCGGGGGGAGCGGTTTTCTCCCCTTTGTATATTCTCCCTAGTCTGCGGGAGCTGGCAGGCGGTGCTCCGGTTTCCACCCACAATTAAACAAACACGTAGGCAGTTGACTGACCAAGGCGACGCGGTTGCTGCTGCACCTGGGATGGGTTTAATACAGAGAACAATTTTCTTTGTACTTTTGCAAGTACGTGACAAATAAATACGATTATTACGGACATATTTCATCGCTCGGTTCACTGTGTCGAACGTAAATTGATGTCATGCCACAATGGAAGTAGCCTACTCGCCGGTGACGGGGCACACGCTCTTTTGCCACAGTGATGACGTTATAAATGACATTACAGTTGCCATTGAAGCAAATGTTTTCCGGAATTACAGATGTAATTACGTTTTCATCGGCAAACTGGAAACACCTACACCAAACAATTTGAAATAATTGACTTCCTTGAGACTTCTCGCAACATATGCCAAGTAGGATACCATGCAATTAGTTATCAAGTTATTAATCAGTTATAGTTAGAGGAACTCCGCTGAGTAAAACTTACCTTTACAGTGGATAGGTGAAGAACCGCTGCCAGGAGAATTTGTACCAAACTAAAAACAATGTTCATGATTGTAACTCCACAAAAGTCTAAAAAGCCCAGGCGTCGGTTAAAATGCGAATAAAACAATGTTTTTTTTTTTCAAAAAAAAAAAAGAATGAGCAAACAGTCAAAAAAAAAAATTATTTAAAAAACGCGGCAAATTTTTGCTATAGTGAAAGCGAATCCATATCTTCCGGGCGCATGTGGCACGGTGTTGTCTCCTCGCAGGCAATGTTACCATCCAACAGGCATTGCTCATCCACAGACAAAGACGCTGTGTTGGGGTCTAAAATCCACAGGGGAACAGATCGATCCTCCACATACGTTCAACTCTTGATAAAGGAAGCGGATCAGCTCAGCAACTTTGAGCGCCGGTTGTTTTACGCTCCCGCAACAGCATGAAGGAGCGTGGCAGAATAAGAACAGCGTTTGTCGGTATAAAGTGATCCAATTTCCCCCCCTTTCTTCACGCCTTTTGTCGTCCCTTATTCAACCACAGTCTCGGTCTTCTCTTGTTGTCTGTGGTTGTTTCGATAGTGAACACAGACGTCGGCTTGTCACCGGCTCAACTCAGCTGTACCAGGTTGTCTAGCGCACTATGTGCTCTAGGTGATAGGCGTCGGGGTTCACAGTTTATTTTTAAAGGTGCAGGAGCATCAGCGAGCCTAAGGCTCGGGTTGGAGGCGGGGCAACAAAGAACAGCCAATAGAAGCGTCTAAACCCAGAGCTGTTCGTCATTGAGGAAATCATTATCGTAGCCAGAATGGGTTTTCTAAGTGGACGCAATTAAGGATATCCTGGCCAAATGGGTTTACATTAAAAAAAAAAAAGACGATGAAAGTAAGGATTTGTCTTTAAAAGGTAGAAAATAATGACAATACCAAAGTCAGTCTCTTACCATATATGTTTTACTCTATTGCTACTTCTGTGTGTCATTACTTGCTTATAACTACCACTTTTAACTCAACATTTGGTCATCTTATGAATGGATTTTGGATTGAATTTATACTTTCAAACATGTCAAACTATTAAAATGCCATCCCTTTCTTTTCTGCAAACATTTATTTCACTTTAAAAATGCAAAATAATGTACCATCTAAGCACATTTCACGTTTTTAAATTTCATGGATCCCTCATGACAGGGAATCTGTGTTCATGCAAGCTTTTTAGACAAAACACAATCTACGGGAAAGACTGTGATGTTGTCACCAAACCTAGAAAATGTCTCAACACAGACATTGCTTGTCTGCAATTTAGTTTTTTTACTGTATATGTTTCATTGAACCTTTTTTTTTTTTTTTTTGGCAAGGTGACCTTTCATTTTAAGAATGAATCAACAAACATTTTTCGGACTTGTTTCGATTCAAAATAGTGCATCCATTTTGGCACACAGATGGTTCAGTGCGCCACTAAAACTACTTCACATAGTTTCCATGGTTCCTGGCCCACTTGTCTTGCTTTTTCGTACGTGTGCATCAGCTGTCCTTCAGCCTTGAGTGAACTTTCAAGATCAGTATAACAAAAACCTCTCTCTCGGGAACCAATCTCTTCTTCTTTGCATTATCAATCCAATAGTTTTTGGGGATAAAGACAAATGCCCACGATTTGACACTGTAAATATCCATATCCGACCCCCCGGCTGACAGAAATATATTTGGGTCATGTCCTATGTGTCGCTGATCAGTAATAGATGAATGCGCATTTATAAGGGGCCTAAGGTTTGCAGCCCAAGTCGAAAAAAAATGTCCTCCGCAGATAGTGGCTGAACGCTTATGTTTAAGGTGCATGTCACTGTGTAAAACATTTTCCCATTGGGAAATTGAATGGTTTGCTTTGCTGGAAGGGAACAAGAGAGTTTTCTAACATATGGTGTACTATAGCTACACCTATATGCTGTATACTGTATATTTGCCATTGTCTGGTGACAGATCCAGGGGCTACCCTGCTTCTCGTCCAAAGTCAACTGGGCTCCAGCTCGCCCACAACTCCAATGGCGATAAGCGGTATAGAAATTGGATGGTTGGATGGACATGCTGTACATCACCTTTTTTCCATATCCAGCTACTCTTGAACTGTATAAAAAAAGCTAAAATGCATTTGAAATTTGGAAACAAATGGAGGCAGGTAGAGTTATTTATTATTCAATTGGATGGAAATTGTCAAATGATGATGTCCTGATCCTGTGTGTGTATGTGTTTGTTTTACTGTTTCAGTTTTGTTTTTGTTTTTTTGTTTTTTGACGGTCACTTGGGCAGGTGGATGGGCAGAGTCTCCTGTGCACTTGTCATCATCAACAGCAGTTAAATTCATAAGCGTTGGAAAGAGAGGAGCTAGTCCCCAGAATATTGTTTCTTTTAGTTGTAGCTTGTGGATGATTGTCTTCCTTTTTGTAGCCACAGTTGCGTATTCTCAAATCTTGTTTAATCCACTCAAATAGTTCTGTTTTTTTCTATTCTCTCTCTCTCTCTCTCTCTCTCTCTCTCTCTCTCTCTCTCATTTCTCCTTGTGTTTGTTAGCTTCTGTCTCCTTGTTTGTTTGTCTGTCTGTTTCTAAATTCGTATGGTAAAGAATGTAAGAATTTGTTTTATATAGCTTTGTTACATATCTTTTCTTCTTGCGCTATTGCGTACTACAATGTGGCTGAGTCCTTTTGTTATTTGTTTTACTTCCATCGTATCCACTTTCTTTTTGCAAAGTAGTTGTTTTGTCCTTTTTAGGGGTCTGGGTCCTTGGCTTCATCCATGCACCTCAGTTTTCTTTACCTGCATGGAATAGTTCTTTCTTCCTCATCAACCTTTTGCCAATGTCATTTTTCTGTTCACTGTATTTATGCTGCAGCCCGGTAGTCCAGTGGTTAGCACGTCGACTTCACAGTACGGAGGTACCGGGTTCAATTCCGGCTCTGGCCTCCCTGTGTGGAGTTTGCATGTTCTCCCCGGGCCTGCGTGGGTTTTCTCCGGGTGCTCCGGCTTCCTCCCACATTCCAAAAACATGCATGGCAGGCTGATTGAACACTCTAAAATTGTCCCTAGGTGTGAGTGTGGGCGTGCATGTTTGTTCGTCTCTGTGTGCCCTGTGATTGGCTGGCAACCAATTCGGGGTGTCCCCCGCCTACTGCCCGAAGACAGTTGGGATAGGCTCCAGCACCCCCCATTACCCTCGTGAGGATGAGGCGGTTCGGAAGATGAATGAATGAATGTATTTATGCTTGCTCACATTAGACAAGCTTGGTTGAATTAAAAAAATGGGTGCTCTGTGTACACCATCTTAACAAGTGGAGAGCTAAAAAATAATAATAATCAGTGAACATTTACAATCAATGCGAGTCCAAAATTCAAACACATGAATGCCCCTGACAGTTGACTCTTAAAACTTCATAATCAGAGTATAAAACGTAAGACAGAACACAACAGAACCTAAATGATGACATTGAAAATACAATACATTTTCTTCTGAATAAAAGCCATGGTTTATTCTTAATGTTACTAATTTGGAGGAAAGAAAAACAGCTTGGAAAAACATTATCCGCAACCACAGAGCTCGGATGACTATTGACAGAGCAGAGTTCAGTGTTTGATGAGTAAAGCATGATGCAGATCAATCTTCGACGTATGCTCAATGTCGCATGCATCAGTCACAACAAATTAATTTTCCAGACAGGATGTGCAGTAAGATGGTGACTTACACAATGATATCATCAGTTCTGACTCCATCCATACTGATAAGGGGCACGATAATAGGAATAAGTGATGACGATTAAGAGCTCAGGAATGACACCGGCCCAAGAAAATAATGCTGTACAGTATTTCCAATTTATGGGGCATGGAAATTCACCAAGTTCAAATTCAATATTAGTCATTGTTAACAGAAAACTACAACAATACAATGTGTACTCACACATAGCTTTAATGATTAGTGACGGAAATGCAGAGATTACTGCTTGTACTTTGGATCTGTCACTCAGAGCAAATGGAGCTCACTTGAAAGTGTACAGTCTGGTCTTATTTTCCATCTTTAATTCTTCATTATGATGCACCGTTGCCATTAATGTATTTTCTCTGGCTCCTTCTGAGAGGAAAAGATCAGAGATTGAGCAGATTCTTCTCATTTAACCGGTGGCTATCTTTTGTAGCGAGCCGGGACCTTAGTGTGTTGAAAACTGACAGTCCTTCTAGGTGAAGAGTCGACATCTTGAGGTTGGGCAGTCTTTATATTTCCATCCATCCATCCATCCATTTTCTGATCCGCCTTATCCTCATAAGGGTCGCGGGCGGTGCTGGAGCCTATCCCAGCTGTCTTTGGGCCGTAGGCGGGGGACACCTTGAAACGGTTGCCAGCCAATCACAGGGCACACAGAGACAAACAACCATCTGCGCTCACACTCACACCGAGGGACAATTTAGAGTGTTCAATCAGCCTGCCATGCATGTTTTTGGAATGTGGGAGGAAACCGGAGTACCCGGAGAAAACCCACGCTGGAGAACATGCAAACTCCACACGGGGAGGCCGGAGCTGGAATTGAACCCGGTACCTCTGCACTGTGAGTTCGATGCGCTAACCACTGGCCCACTGGGCCGCCCCCGCCCCATGATAGATTATCTAAATAAAGTATTGTGACACACCTTAAAAAGTATTAGTGACACACCTTAAAAGAATTAGGCTACATTGTTAGTGTTCACATACATGTATTTCTTCAGTTTTGTCAGACATTTGGGGCAATTACTTGGCAAATCTTCCTTTGAATCACCGGATATTAATTTTCAGATCCGAAGTCATTCCGGTAGAAAGTATTCCCAGAGGAGTGGACGTTGTTTGAGCTGTAAAAGAGGAGCTCAAATCCATATTCTCTTCACTTATAAGTAGGGATGGGTATCGCGCCGTGGTACAAAGCTTGTCTCGGGGCTGCAAACATGAATGTTATTTTGCACCTTCTGCCTCCGTAATCTCAATTCTAACTTGCAATAAAATTAATATATTTGCCAAAGAAGCATTCTCACAATAGAAGGCGAGCCCAACTCCAGTGGCATGCACGAGAGGCACAGGAAGGGAGTCCTTCCTGTGCTAATGTAGCACTGTGATCACGATGCGATATGGTTCATAATATTAAATGAAAATGTCCATCGTGCCATATAACCCTATATTTTTTATACTGTTATTTTGTGTGAGTTCAGTATTGATGTAATAGGCGACTGCTGAATTGGTGGACATTCTGTCAATACTGACAGAATTCCGATTTTGCTGATGAAAAACGGAAACACGCGGCAGGTGTCTTGTGTGTGTTTGTGTGCGGGGTTGACCACACTGGAGTTACTTTGAGTGGAGAAGAGGAGGGGCTACTCTGACAGAAAAAAAAAAGTTTGGACCTCAAGTTCCATTTTTGTTTGTGTCAGATTTATTCAGTAACTGCCACTGATGATGTTATGGTACACTTGCCTTTGGTTCAGACAGTGTTGGTCAGTTCCCACTGAGTGTCATTGGTTGCCTGTCTTTACAATATATGTGACTTGTGCCTAACTGGGGACCAGTCCAGGTTGTGGTCCACTATTCGCCCAAAGTCAGCTGGGATAGGCCTTAGCTCCCCGCAACCCTGAACAGGATAAGCGGTCTAAAAAAATTGATGGATGTGTCCAGTAGCTCCCAATCTTAATT